GCGGCTACAAAGATGGATGGCTTTAAGAGGGAATTGGATAAGAATATAGAGCAGAGGTCCATCAGTGGCTCTTAGCCACAAGGTATTGATAGGCGCTCTCGGTCTGGGGCCAGGGATGCTCTGTCTTCTTGGTGCTTGGGGGGGGGGCAACAGTGGGAGGGCTTCTAGTGTCCTGGCCCCACTGCTGGACCTCCTGATGGCCCCTGGTATTTCTGGCCACTGTGTGGCACAGAGTGTTGGACTGGATGGGCCTTTGGCCTGATCCAACACCGGCTTCTCTGATGTTCTTATGAGCCCTGCCCTCCCCGCCCCCAAATAAACCCATTCCTTCCAGCCTCCCTTCCTGCCGAGTCGTTCCTCCCTCCAACTCCCCCCTCCCGCCAGGCTGCCCCATCGCCCCCAGGCACCTGGGCGGGGGGGGGGGGGCATGATGCCAGTCACCAGGCGGCCCCCCAGGAAGGGCAACAGCAGCAGCCACAGGTTCCCGGCCAGGCCCCCCATTCCTGTTGCCATCTCCGAGGTGGGACGCGTCCAATGGGGAGGGAGGGAGGGCCAGGCAGCAATGGGGACAGCGACGGGGCTGGCAGAGGCGCACGACTGAGCCCGGTCCTGGCCGCGGTGGGTGAGGGAGGAGACGAGCGGGGCAGAGGCAGCCAATGAGAAAAAGGCCTGGGCGCTGACCCGGCTGTTGCCAGGTGAGGAAACCTCCGAGAGCCGCCCGAGCAGCAGATAGACGGAGAGGAAGGCGAAATGGGCGCGGACTCGTGTGCTGGAAGCGGGTGAGAAGAGCGATGCTCTTCATGCAGCGTCAGTGGACTGATTAGAGGCGGCCTGCGCCGCAGATGGGCCCCGCCATCACCCGCCGCTGCCCTCCTTTCCCGCCCCCCGCCCCAGCAGCCCTCGCCTAGAGACCGCGCCGCTAACTGTTTTTGCCGGCAGCCTCCGCGCGGCTATTAGGAGATACAAACTGGCGAGCTCCGCCAGGGACCGCCGGGCGCTCAACGCGCGGGCTTTGATCCTTAATTAGAGTTCTACTGCGGGGGGGAGCGGGGGGGAGGGGGAAAGGGGGCAACGCAGCCCGGGCCTCGACTGCGCCTTGCTATTTCGGGCGCTGGAGGGAGTCGCGAAAGAGGTTGTGCGCAAAGCGTTCCCGGTAGAG